TAAAAAAATTTTTTTTTTTTTTTTTTTTTAACCCTGCATGTATTTGGGAGCACAGAGCTTCAAATTAACCAACTTATGGTGATGGTTTTCCAGAAACCATTTCGTGGAATGCTCACATGTAGAAGTCTCACAACCTAATAGTCTTTTTCATGGCCAAAAAAAAAAAAAAAAAAAATTTGGTCTTTTTAAACTTGCTACATCTAAAACAAATTTGAACAAGTGACAATGCAGAATTTTAATCCTGTTAGATGAGCAGCATTCTCAGTGCCTGCACAGGGAGCTGACAGCACTGGGCCCATTAGGCTCATTTCTGTTCCCTTCCAAATAAATACAAAGGCAATTGTGTGTGAAGCTAAGCCCTGCAATGGTTTTACTGACCCTCTGTAAGCATTTTTAGTTGAATAACTTTCCCATAAAGGTTCAAATATAATGAAAGTAGCCAACATTATTAATTGCATGTATAATTACTTTTGTTACTTATGTGTTACTACAAGTGTCTGTGGTTATTTCTGACCAATATGAATGATCCCACAGCCTAGTGGTTAATAACCAAATATTTCAATTATGTGTAGGCTTTCTTAAAATATTTTTGAAAAATCATGCCTGAAACTTAAATTTCATTCTGAAACTTAACAACTGACATTAATCTATCAACCTGTCCCTAAAATCCTAGTTATTTTGCTACTAAATCACTCTTTTTCTTCATGTTTCTTGCTTTTCCCCCTACACTGCCATAGGTTATTTGTGCCAGAATTTTATTTTTTCAATTGGAAAAATCGCTAGCAGTCTTCTGAAGGAGAAAAGCAACAACTTCAGCAGAAGTTAATCAGCTAAATTCAACTTTTTAATTGTAAAGAATGTCATGATGAACACTTAAAAGACTCCATCCTGTCTTGTTGGGATGAAACAATAGCCTTAGCTAAAAATTAAGTGATTTGCGTATCTGAATTCAAGGCACATTTAAAATACTTCTATAACGTCATTAAAATAGTGCTGATTCCAAGTAAAGATTTACTTGATGATAGATTTGTCAAACAACATAATTTCTGATATCTTTTATTAGACCAAACAATTTAACTGAAAAACCAAGCATTTTTACAGGAAGATGAAAAGGACACCAGGGAGTACACAAAAAACAAGATGTCTTTTTCAAATCTGGCCTGGTCTAGAAAAACCCTTCCCCTCTGCATGTAGTGTGTGGAATGGAACACAGATTTCTTCAAGATGGTTCACTTGCTTGTTGACATTTTATTGAATATGACAGTCAAAGCCCTTTGATATTAATTGTAGAAACCAAATAATTAAAATCTGTTACATTCAATTACCTCTAGCAAAAAAAAAACATTACTCTTAAATCAAGCTACCTGGACAGAAATTTAGTTAACAAACATAAGGATTTCAAATAGTTTTGTTTAAAGGACAAATCTATGCCATATGATTCAGGATATCAAATAAACCATTGCAGAGAAGAGACCAGATACACACAGCTCCACATGTCCTTGATGAGAGGATTTGTAATTCTCAATTACATATTTATGTCGTTTCATTATCAGATCAACTGATAAATACTGCATGAGAAACTGAACAGTAAGGAATTTATTACTTGAATTATAATAGAATATATTTACATCCAAAGTCCTCCTAATCAAAAATCAGTTAAGTCTATTATTCTTTACTATACTGAAGTGAATACCTGAAGAGTAAAAATGAAAACAGCACTATTTATTTGCTGCAAAATAATCAGTATATTCAAAATCTAATGATCAGTGCATGAACATCTTAGATTGGTATCATCTTCTTTTTGTGAGGAATTCACAGTCCTGGTTCAATTCAACAGTGCCACATTTAACTTCTCCAACAATATTTTACCAAACATCATGGCAACAAGTAAAGTTCTAAAATACAGGTAAATAAGTGTAGTAGCTAGTATGGCAAAAAATTTAGAGATATTTTTAGAAATATGAATTATATATTCACCCAATGTTAAAAGCAAGTGATATAAATTAATTTCCTATTTTCCACCTCTGAGAATATTTTTAATTATATATCTACTATAATGCATACTGGCATTTATCTGGAAAGGTTGATGAAATAATACCTTATTTGATGTTTCCATCCTTCTGAGCATCTTCATCACACAGCTTGCTAAATCAAAGCTATTTTACCTGAAAAAATACTTCACAAGTAGGAAAGTTACATGCAAAAGGCACTTATTGCTCTGCCATGCTAAAAACTGTATATTCATGGAAAATACTCTATTTATCTCAAACATTTGCTGCACCCTTTTTCACTTATCTTTATACTTTCTATGATCTGCATAGCACACTTCTAGTCATTAACTATAGCAGAAGTCTTCACACATCTATTTACCTGTGGAGCCACCCCAAGTGGGGATTTCACTGCCAGTCCTCAAAATAAGAGTTGGAAACCCAGGCTGAGCTCAGAGGGACACACAGGACAAAGTCACAGTCTTCTCCAAATCAAAAGACTGTGCTGTCCTGTTTTCCCAATGCATAACAACTTGATTTTTTTTGTTACATCTCAATAATAAATCAGCTATGGTGGTTTTGTGTCACATGGTTTTGAAAAACCTCCACCACACCTGCACACACACAGACAGAAGACCCTTAGAAATATTTTGCTAAAAGCTGCACAGTCAGAAACATTTGGATAACCATTGGTGAGTGTTAAAGCTCTGAGGGCTTCTCCCAGTGGAGTTCTGCATTGCTCCTCCATCTTCAGAGCAGGGGTGAGTTCCAGCTGAGTTTGGATGGGGCTGATCCATCACTCCCAGTCCACACCTGGAGCCTTCTCCTGGGATATGGGCAGGGCCAGGGGATGGAGTCACATCCACTCCCCAGGAGGCATACATGAAGAATTCCAAAAATCTTTTTCCCCTTCTATTAACAGTGATTAATTAATTAACAATGCTGGCATAACACAATGGAGATTACCTGCTACTTGTACAGCAGAGTTTCCTCACACAAAGCTCTTGTTACGACACAAAAGAAGTTCCCACAGCGGCATGCAGGTATTTTACTTACACTTAAATGCACCACAGAGTCCTTGTACATTCATGCCCTTGCACTGGAGCTGTCAGCAGCTATTTCACAGCTGGCACCACCCTCTGAGACACTCAGCTTAGAACTCAGGGTGAGGGTTCAGTAGACGGGCATGACACAAAGCTGGAAGGTCCTTTACGAAGTAATAGTAGTTTCTCCTGCCTTCCAACAAGAAGCAGCTAAGTAAGTATTCTTGTCGCCTTTGTATTATCTAGATAATAAACAATCTATACTGTTTTCTTCTAAAATAATCTTATCTTAGTTCTTTACTGTGTTTATGAGCACATACACAATCAGAATGCAGAATTTTCTGTTGAGATCTCCAGCAGGTAGAAAGCATTAGAGTGATCCCAGCTTGTAAGTTATATTCATCAAGTACCTCTTAACTACAGCATGTTGATGTCATAAAGTAAATATTTAACTGCAGACATCATTCCTCCAAACAGTTCTCCTTATTTCACACATCAGAAGTTTCTGGTTTTCTCCAGGGAGTTTCTGATCACTTCCACTGGTGTTATACAATACCCACTCATTCTGCGCTTTCCTGCTTCTGTATATACAAGTCACTCCAACACTTAAATAAAGAATACAATCCAAAATCACTACTGGAGACACACAAGCACAAATCATTGTCAGTCCCTGGATTTCCTAGTAGCAAAAACATTCTGCTCATGTATCCCGACAGTTTCTTTGGTGTGCAGCTTTTAACCCAGCCCAGCCTATCCCAAAATTTTTCACATAGTTAAGGTTCCCAGCACGCAGTATTAAACAAATCCTTAAAGCAAAAAAGCACTTAATTGTTTCTATTTAGTCCTTTGGAGAAGCCAAAAGGGGCACAGATCCATGTGCCCAGCCTGGCCTCTGCTCTGGGAAGGAGAGTGATGGGAGTTTCTGAATGGCTGTGTGCTGGTACAAACCAGCCTCATGCATTTCAGGAAACCACTTCTCCCCCTTCTAGCCTGTAAAGTTAAGGTTTACCATCGCTGACCAAAAACAAACAAACAAACCCAAAGAGTAAAACGCACAAACAAATCAAAAATCCAAACAAAACAAAAAGAAACCAACAAAACTATTGTTTTCACACGTGTAAAACTACTGCTGGTCCTTTCAGCTGCCTGGCTGGGAAAGCTTGGTGGAGATAAGGCTCTCTGATAGCTGGGTAAATGCTTACTTAATCGTGGGGCAGCAGCTGGGGAGGCACACCCTGCCCCACTCTTGCTCAGCAGGCAGCCTGCCATCAGCACACCGTGCGCTTTCCTCCGGGGGAGCAAAACCCCAACCAGCCTCTCAGCACCGCGATTAACCCGGGGCACGAAAAGTCAGGCTTAACAGGAGGGATTTACAGGAGCAGGAAGGACCCGCTGCCTACGCACCGGAGTTCGGGCGGGGGCTGAGAGCTCAGGCAGGTGTCTGGAAACAAAGCGCAGAGCTGTGTCCGAGGGAGAGCCCGAGCAGCGCCGCTCCAGCTCCCCTGACCCAGCTTTGCCCTGGCTCCAGGGGCGTTTCTGCCCCCGCCCCAGGGCGGCCCCAGCCGGGGCTCGGGTGCAGCCCCGTGACTGCACCGCGCCCTTCCAGGAAGGAAGCGCTTGGGAGAGGCTGTCCCGGCACCTGATCCACCGGGAGAGGCCGTCCCGGCACCTGATCCACCGGGATCCCGCTGCTCACCCCGGGAGAGGTTGTCCCGGCACCCGATCCACCGGGAGAGGCTGTCACGGCACCTGATCCATCGAGATCCCGTCTCCCAGCTCGGGAAGGGCTGTCCCAGTCAGTACCTGATCCACTCACTGGATCCCGCCGCACAGCCCGAGAGAGGTCCCAGCACCCGATCCACCGGGAGAGGCTGTCCCGGCACCCGATCCACCGGGAGAGGCTGTCCCGGCACCCGATCCATCGAGATCCCGTCGCTCAGCCCGGGAGGGGCTGCCTGCCCCGTGAGCTGCTCCGCCCGGGTCGCAGCGGGACAGGTAGGGCAGCGCTGGGGAGCGGGATGAGCTGCTCCTCCTTCACGGGCGCTCCCCGGGAGCTCGTCCTGCTGGCCCGGAGCTGCCCGGGCCGGGGGAGGCCGAGAGCTGTGCTCTGGGCATGGTGGCACAGCCCAGCCCCGAGTGGCTGTCGCACGTCCCCGCCTCGGGCAGCGATCGAGTTTGGAGCTGTGTCGGGTGACACCGTGCCGAGTTACGGGTTTACTCCGTGCCTCGGACAAAACGGGCTTTGTAGCTGTTCCTGTCGGGGAGATTTTATTACCTCCTCCGGCAGCAAAGGCGTAACTCTGCAGTTTCAGAGCCGACCTGGGGCACCCTGCGGGGGCTCTCTCCCCGTCAATTCGCTCTGTTTGGCCGGGAGAGGAGAGCAGGAGGCGGCGAGAGCGGCGCCGGTGACTTTGTGTGGATGTTACACAACGTGAACTCCGCAAGAGACAGGCAGGACCAGTTCGGCTCGGTGTCTCTTCAAGGGACCCATCAGCCTGGAGTGCGTGTAGGAGCTTGCGCTGGATGACTTCATTGACAGGATTCACTCAGGGTTCATCGCTGCCACTTGAGAGGATTGCGCTGTCATTCTTTGTTAACTCACCTCGGTTTCTGTCTCACAGATCCCGGCCATGTTCGCGTTTTTGGTGGTGCTGTGTCAACTCCACGTGATGATGTTGGCGTTTCCTCACTGCCCTGGGAGATTAAGTAACTTGAAGCAACCTGAATGGAAAGATGGTAACTTACTTTTAACTTGCGCTTTCCACATTTGTGGAAATTTGTGCTTTCCAAAATTGCTTCTAACTTTGCTTTGCTTGCTTCTTCAGTTGTTGTTTTGGGTTTGGGTTTTTTTTGGTGGTTTTGTTAGTTTGTTTGTTTTTTACTTTATGTAAAAAAATAAGCTCTTTTATGCTTAATTTCAGATTATTTTAATATCTTTTGCTGAAATTATTGATAATTGACTTTGGTGTTAATATCAAGTATTTATCAGATCTAGTGGCAAGTGCAGATTGGGAAAACTGAACTTTTTCCAGGCCTCTGGGATTATTGTGGTTGATAAAACCAGAATCCTTTAAGTAACATTAAAATTCAAAAAGTATGAAACCTGTGTTAAGACAGTATTGTTTTGGTACTATTTGAGCACATCACAGTTGTGTTTCTATATCTGAAATTGCTTTGTATTTGAAAGGGTTTATTTGGTTGTTTTTTGAAATTCATATTTTCTCTCAATTCCTGGAAATTTTCTTACAACACCTGGAAAGATAAGCATAGTGCTGCTTTTGCAGTTCTTCCCTGTGGAGGAAGAGAAGTGGTGAGGAACTCATATAAAAACAAATATGTTCCCCAGAGGAACTCAAGCACTTCAAAGCAAAGCCATGTGATGCTAAACATTTTAAAATTCCTTCAAAAAGGAATCTCTAACTTAGCTGTGTGGTCTTCTCAGTGGCCAAAGGAGTGCTGAAACCATAAGACAGACTTTAAAAAGTCATCACATCGAGCAGGAGGCTCCTTCAGGGCGGTGTGGAGCACAAACCATGGCTAGCAGAAAAATGCTTGCCGTGATGATTTGTTAAAATCCATATTGCTCTGGGCAGAAAATGTCAGGCTGCCTCTTTCCTATGAGAATTCTCTCCTCACAATAGGCCCAAACCACTACTCCTTTAAAGACAGAGTTGGAAAGAAAGGACCAAACCCTTTATCCAATAATTTAGCAAGTAGAACAGTTGCCAAAGGTTGGAGTACCTGCATTGAGAGGTCGCCCTTCAGTATTTTCTGAACATCCTTTACCAGCAGAGCTGCTTTACTGAGCATATTGTGTGGTTGCATTTTTAATTAAATGCTGGGCATCCTAAAACTGCGGGGATCATTTTATCAAACCAAGGATTGCAGAATTGCATCCAGGTCCCTCACATTTAGGATACAATTCAAATCCATCTGTTTCATTCTTCAAAAGCTGTTTGAATCACCAGGTAGTAAGTAATTTGGAGATGGAGATACAGAGATACTTGACAAATTGAAAAAAGTGCAGATAAATGGATAAAAATTCTTGGTAAGAAAAAAAGGATCCATTAATTCCTGGAAATTGAGGGTTCTAGGCTCCAGGCAGCTTGTTTATGCATTCCATTTTAAAAAAAAAATGCATGAGTTCTCTAGGTTAATTCAAAGGACAGCTAATATTACTTTTCATGGTAAAGAGTGAAACACTACTGGGCAAAACTGAAGATCTCTGCTTCAGAAGACTGAAGTTATTTTTGTAATTTGCACTGAGCCAAGAATATTGATAATATTTTTCAATATTATTTTTCCCTTTCCACTTGTGGATTTGAGAGAATTTTGATCTGGTTTTTGCTTCTGTTTTGGGGGTTTTTTTATTGCTGTTGAGTCCTTTTCTCTGGCTACTCTTTAGGTATATATAAATATTTTAAGCTTAGATTTTCTTGCAATTGCTTTAGAATAACAAAAACAAATGCATGTGCACATGTGTAGCTACTTCAGTATGCAGTGTAGCAGTATGCAAATTATATAAAATATATGCTGTCATATTCCTTAAATATACTATAATACTAAAGACATAATCAATATGTAAGTTATGCTGCAGTTTTCTCAGTTTTCAGGGAACAAAGTGTTATGAGGTACCACTGCAAGATCTAACAGTAACTATTAGGGTGAAAATTCCAGAGCAATGTGATAATCTTGCCAAACAGGCTAACAAGAACACAAAGCTAATTTGTAGCTGAATAACTTTATCCTGAATCTCATCTCCTTTTTTAGCCATCTGGCTTGGTATGTAACAATGCTGTTTCTGCATTACACTTGCAAAAATAATCCTCTAGTCATTTTGTTTAAGCAAATAGCCTGAATTTTGTGGACACAGATCAGGCTTTCACTAGAAACCTAGGTTTGCCCTATAACTTTTTTTTTTTTTCTTTTAATAAGAAACTGTAGCAAGAGCAGGCTAAAACTTGACTATGGAAAATGCCTAGTGAGGAAATACATTCCTGTATTCCAAAGCTTTTATAATTTCACTCACTGTTCTGGAATCTCACCTCACAACTGACTCCATGAGGCCTCATGGAACATAAAAGAAGAGAATAAGTAAATGTCTTCAGAAATGAACGTTGTCAGTAAAATTTATATCATTTACAACAAATCAACTTTGCAATATGGCACCTTTACATAAAGGTGGTGCCACAATTGTGAAAAGAGAACAATTGTAGAATGAATAGGAATCTGGTGATGAGATTTAAAAACTAAATTCTCTAAATAAAATTTGGTGCTCACAGATACCAGAATACTGATAAATGTATATTTTGGTTTTACCTTCTCTCACCCTTGCCTCCTTCCCCCGCTAGGTCAGGGTGTTTCTTACTTTAGATCTGACTGAATTCTGCTTGATGTGACAATTACTTTGTTGTTAAAAGCTCCAGTAAAAACTGATGCTCACATCCCAGAAGAGCTCACACCAAAACTTGACCAACAGTTCTCACCACAAATTCTGTTGGCCAGGATAAGGAATAGCTGAGATGGCTTATGAGAAAGGCAAATATGTTTATTTTATGTTACATAGTTAGAAAAGATAGTAGTGAAGAAGACATTTTAGGAGTAGACTTTGATATTTCTGTCCCTTGTAGGTAGCTGAGAGATGCTAGGGAAAGAAATTATCCCAATGTGCTCCTTTAAGATCTTTACCATTCTTTAAAAATACCAAATTTAGCCTTCCTAACTTGTTTTAAATCAACATGTTGTTTGTTTTTTTTTATTAGTGTTCACATCTGCTAGGGAGGCCAATTTATTCATTGGACGACATCTTCTGAACAACAGATTTGATTTTGAAGCATTCACAGCTGATAATCTGGAAAGGGAATGCTATGAAGAACTGTGCAATTATGAAGAAGCAAGAGAAATTTTTGAAGACCCAGATAAAACGGTAGCAGTTCAAATTTAATTTAATATAGTGAGGGAGGTCATTGGCTATAAAACCTCATTTTTGTACACCAATTATTCTAACACAAATTTTTGTACACAAATAATGTAACTCCTCTAACAGAGCACTAAGAGATGACTACTTAATTTGTTCTAAAAGTAGATATCCCAGTTACATGGGATTCTTGCTTTAGATGCATGCACTTGAATATGTATTATTGTCTTAAAGACTTTAGATGTGGACTTTAATTCTGCAAACAAATAGAAATGAAGCTTTAGAAGTCCTGCTTGCGGATATTCCTATATTTTCAGACTTCTGGATTTTATAGTAACTTCTCAGCATCCAACTTAAATGTTTCACATGTTCTCTGTATTAACTGTAATATGTAACTAATATTACATCCTTATGTCATGGCAAAGAAGTATTTTGTAAGAGGCCAGTATGGAGCAAATCTGCAGTTCAGCTATTGCTGAGTATTCCTATAGCACCATATTCTGATTCCCCCCCTAGACATAGCTGTGAAGAAGCCTGATATATATATATATATGTAAAGAAACAATAAGAAACCTTTCAGCTCAATAAAGGAATGTGAAGATTATCTGGATATTCACTCTTGCACATGCAGCAAGACTTTGTGATTCTAGGTGTGCTCTGTAGGAAGAGCAAGGAATAACACCCCTGTTCTAAGGGTGGAAGTGTTAGCTTGCTGTTGCTAACACTCTCCTAAGAAAAAGGTCAAATTGCTAAATTGAAATCTTGCTGGAGTCTTTTGCTAGGTTGCAAAAGTGAAAATTGTAACTCAACAGTAACTCATTTCAGGCATACAACATAAATGTTTTTCTCTTAAATGAATCCCAACTATTTTTCCTAGCTGATATGAATTCAAATGCTGTTCAGGCAAATGTCAGAATCTTAAGAACTTTGCCTCAAATACTGTTTTGTAGGGATTTGCAAAAAAATAATTATAAGTATTTGTTTGGTGTCAGAACATACCCTAACTTCTACTGTAATCAGGCAGAAATATGAGGTAACACTGGACAGTTAAATACACTTTTTTCTTTTAATTTTTTAAAATTTTAATGTAAAGTTGTAGAAGAAAAATATCATAGGATGAGTAAATACAAATCCCTCAGCAGGAGTTATTTCTGTTTATGCCATTGTTAAATTCTGCCCAAGGTACCATATTAAATAATTCAATAGGCCTGTCAGTTATGTATTTTATATAAATCTGATTCTTTTTGGGTTTTATAGATGGATTTTTGGAAAGACTATTCAACTAAAGGTACTAAAATAAAAATAGGTAGGTCATCTTTTTACTTTTTTTATTATATTGCAATATTTTCTGGTTGTTATAATAATACATTCTTAATAGATCATTAATCCAGTTAAGGAAATCAGAAGTTATCTTTTTACTGAAGATCACTGTGAACCATAAAAATATGTTTAATTATCTGATACTATAAAACTGTAGCATCTTAAAGTGGGATCCATTATAGGTCTGTAGGTGAAAACTATAATTTCCTTGACCATTCCTGTATCACACAATTGGTAAACTCTGCAGTAATTCTGTGGCTGCTCTCTGTGGTTTAGTTTTGTTTTTTCTCACCTTCATTTCTTTAATAGTGATATATAATAGCCTGATTTAGGCTCAGAGTAGTCTGATGCCAGATGTTTAATAAAAAATGGTCAGTTAGACTTGAGGAAAGAACTACAGCCTGATCAAGGTCACAAATACATGAAGGAATATTTGGAAGGCATTAGAAGACAGGCATCTCAACAGTTTCATGTAGAGAAAAGGAGACATCGACTCCCTTTTGCTTTAAGCTGCCTGTGAATGATACTTTTGGGTTGTTGCACAGATTTTCAGCAAGTTAGAGATTTGTGGAAGGAACAGCTTTATAGCAGTGCAAAAGTAGTATTTTACAGTATTTACAACATTTGACTGCAGGCTGGATGGAAAGAACACATAATGAAAATCACCAATGTTTCCTCTCCAGGTGATGAGACACTACAGAAGATTAACGTCACGGGACTGCTCATCAGCCTGGTTGCTGCTGGAGTGCTGCTGGTTACAATTACACTGATTATCTTCTACTGCTGCAAGAGCAGATGCAAATCAAGGCAACCACCAGGGTAAGGAATTTCACTGCTTAAAAAATCCAAACACACACCAAAACAAACTCTTGCTTAAGAGTGGCATGTAAAAATCACTGTGGGGTTGTTTTAACTCGGAAAATCCAGTGGAAGTTCTAGTTTTTACTTGCCCAGAAGCAAAGTTAAGTGAGCACCAACAGTAGTTTTGCTGCAGTTAATAACACAAAAACATAAAACATAAAATATTGCACACCCAAACCTTTGGGTTTGCTTTTATTTTATTGCATGCATGTGTGTTCTTGGTTTCAAAATAGTCTTACTAAGATGATGGAATAATTTTAGTAGGTGGGGGCCTGCAGTGGGAAGCCTAATGTGTTCTGTTGGCACTTTCAAATAAGCTGTGTGCCCTTCATGGCATGTGCTCTACCTCAGATCTGAAGCAGTTGTAGTAGTAGATGGTGAAGCAGTTTGGAGAAAATGCTTTTTTACCAGGTCTCTAATCCTGAGTACTCCTTTGTCCCAGACTTGAAAGGAATATAAGAGGATTCTGTGCTTTCTCTTCACTATTAATTTCACATCACTGAGCTATTCTTACCCTGTGGTTTGAAGAGAGTATTTGGCTTCTGGTCTTTGTGATCACTGAAGGCATGTTTTTTTCTCTTGTGGGTGCTTTTGGGTTGTTTGGGGTTCTGGTTTCTTTTATGATTAAGACTTTATCTTCTTGCTTCCCTTTAAAGCAGAAGTTTCCACTTACCTGCTGTTACCTTTGTTTAGGTACTTGGATTACGTGAGAAGCAGAAGACGTAATTCAGCCAACATCTTCAGGAGGCACGAAGAGTTTTCTTTAAACCCCCTTCCTCTCCGAGCTGACGATTCAGAACTACCCACTTATGAGCAAGCAGTTAATTCAGATGGACTACACCATGTGCCCCCACCCCCTTACCCAGGGCCCCCCAGAAATGCACGAGTCTTTCAAAAGTCCATGTCTCTTCCTGGCCCCTAGGCACAAACCTCCTGCTGGGGTCAGGGAGGGGATCACTGGAACATAACATACTTTTGAAAAAGTGTGTGCTACCTTGCATATTGCAAGATGATTTATAAAAATGTGAAAGATCTTTTGGACAACTAGGAACAAGTGAAGTTCCCATTTGGGAAAAGAGGTCACCTGTTGGAAAGGCTGCAGGACTATTCTCTGCACAAAGTCACTGTGCTAAGAGGAGAGAATGCATAAAGAGCAACTTCTTGTACTGCTGCCCTCTTCCATATGAGCCATCCCATCAAACTATCGATGTTTTATTAATAATTTCATCTTGTTTTTTCTTCAGAAAGAACAGTATTTTAATTGCTCATATTGACACTAAACATTTTTTGTGACTTTATACTTAAAATTACCATAAGAAGTCTTTGTTGTTTTGACATATTCACTTCTTTACTGGGTGATTTTTCTATTCATTCTTGTAATAGATTTGAGTGTGAAAATTATTCCATGACTTGACCTTCCAAATATATATATATATAAATATATATAGTACTGCTATTGGATTACACTGGTTTGTTTTAGACATTGCTGATCACATGCCTTAATTTGTTGTATTTTTATGATCATAATTCTGCATCAAAAGAAGCATTCATTACATGGCACACTACCAATTCAGACAAAGTATGCTTGCATCAAATTGTCTTGATGTTCAACAGTAAATTCCAGATCAAGGAGAGTAAATAGAATACTGTGGGCCAGAGGATGTTGAGGAGAAAACTAGAGATTTGTCCCTTTTGAAAAGCTACCCAGGTTTCACAGCTAACGTTTCTTTCATAGTTTAAAATCTGAAATGTAGAGAGACATTTAACTTTCAAACCAAAGCCAGAACTGCCCCCTAGAAGCACTTTAAGTCTGGCACTACAGGGATGACAAAATGACCCCTGTAAATAGAACGAAACATCAGATCAAAAATCAGATGTCAAGAACTTTTGAGTTATTGGTTCACTGTGTCAAGACAGTTTCTATATCTACAGCTGTAGCCACCATTAATTTTACATCTTATTAAAATATCAACCCCCAGCATTATGAAGCCTATAGATCTTACTGAGCAAATTGCTGCCCACCACTGGTGTCCCTTGTCCTTCTCAACACAGGAAGCTGTAGCAGAGGGTGTCACAGGAAATATGTCAGGCTGTTTTCTTGTTTGACAGTGGCTGTATGGTTTAGGCACACACAATTAAGTTTTTTAAGAAGAAACAACCCCTCCATTTTTTCCCCCTCATTGAGTCAATGCTGACAACAGCAAATTATATTTCAATTTGGTGCCTACAATCCACTTTGTAATATAAGTTAAAGGATTAAGGGTTGAGATGAACATGTAATATTTCACTGAATCTTACTGTTTTTAGCATACTAGAAGCTACGGTGTTGTTGACTGAGATGCAGAAAATTGGTCTGAGATTTTCAATCTGTAAATGTCTTTGTAATCATGAAAACACTTCAAAACTTGGAATCTGAAGAGGGTACACTGACAGTGCTACACAGTGAAGTCTTGCCTTTGAAAAACACATGCAATGTAGTTGATAGCAGTGCCATTGGTGTTCCTGTTCACAAAACTTCACCATGGAATTTGGCTTTTGGCAAGTCACAAATCGCTCTCCAGCTTCTTTTTTAGTTGAGAGATGGGGGAATCCCCACGTTGGGATGTTTCCATTCACTTTTGCCCTACTTGTAAAAGCATTTTGAAGTTTTTGAAGTTCTGTAAGACTGAAATAAATGAACTATGCGAGGTCACTGTTAACAATCAAAATACAAGGTTACGAGAAGATATGCAATCATAAGCTTGCAAAAACATTCTCTCATATTTCCCTTTCATTCAGCTAACAGTTTTTAAATTTTTTAATGTGCATTTCAAGCTCTAGAGCACACTTATACCTAGATTTTTCCTGGGATTCAAAAATATTTACTAATGGAACTGGCAGGAACACTTCTAAGGAGAGGGATTTCACAGGGCTTGTGAGCATTCAGAGATTCTTTAATGTTACTACAGACATCTGGCAAAACCACATTTTAAATACACTACAGAAGTTGTACAGAATCCCATTCAATCACTGCAAATTTGCTTTCTCTACTATTCCTACAAATTATTTGCAATTGACTCCATGCAATACAAGCAAAAATCTCGTCCTTCATAATTAATCAAAAAAGAGATTGATTAAGATTTAGAAGGTGTAACTGTTAAACATCAATGGTGTAGTGCTTAGGGCAGTAAAGTGTCCTTTCAGTAGAGTAAAACACTCAAATTTAATCAAGGAGTCTGCACCTTAGACCCTAAGAAAAAGTGCAGGAACTGACATTCAAACACTGGTTGCACACAGCATGATCATTTGGAAGACATATCTTGCCTTTTACAAAGAAGGAGCAAAGTTTAAAATTTAGTTGAATACAGTGTAAGTTTACCTCTCATTGCAGAGGGAGAAAATTCCCTTGAATGGCAGTTTTTTGGGTCGAGTTTGTTTTCCTTCTTTCATCCACTGACTCCTGGCCCATTCTTACCTGGTATCTTGTCTCTTTCTAGAACTCATGATTCAACAGGGTTAAGAGAGGGAAAATCAACAAGAGACAGACTATGGGGAGTTATTAATTTACAAGTGTTGCCACACTTTCTAATATTACATGCAGCTTCTTTTGGAAATGGAGTTGCTATTAGAATATGTAAAGCAGCAAACAATTTGTACTTCAGAGACTTTTACAAGGCCATGTGATAGGACCAGGGGAAATGGCTTTAAACTGACACAGGCCAGGGTTAGATTGGATATTGGGAAGAAATTCTCATTGTGAGGGTGCTGATGCCCTGGCACAGTTGCCCTGAGAAGCTGTGGCTGCCCCATCCCTGGAAATGTTCCAGGCCAGGCTGGATGGGGCTCTGAGCAAGCTGGTCCTGTGGAAGGTGTCCCTGGCCATGGCAGGGTGTCTGGAACTGGATGGTCTTTAAGGTCCCTTCCACTCCAAAGCATTTTGTGCTTGAAGTAGGAAGAGGAAGAAGATTTTTGAGGAGCAAAGCAGAAGCAAGTTAACTTGTATAGAGATGTACATTATCAGTGTTTTAATTTTGGTGTTTCTTTACAAGACCTTTAGGACACACAGTGGATTCTAAGTGATTTAAAGATCTACTAAGAGAGAAATGAAAACAGAAATGTCTAAACAAAACACTGGTAAACACACACATTCTGTTTTAAACACTGTAAGTGCTGTTAGCCATTGCCTTGAACAATTTTCCAGATCAGCCTTTTCAGCATCACAGAAGATTACAACATACAAGTTTTAATAAAACAAGACAGTTTATTAATTAGGGCAAATAATAAGGGTCAGGAAAGTGTTCTCTGTGTTAGTTGAAAAATAAATCATTGAACCTGCTAACTGCTGCAATATGAAAGCCTGCTGTGTGATCCATCAATTATGCATTTATAGGTTGGGGGATTGTTGGGGTTTTTGTGAATTCATTAGAGCAGCAAAACCAAAATACCACATAGAAGTGCACTTCATCACCACACTGATGAAAATGTGAATTGTGAAGCATTTGATTCTGGTCCTGTCAAAATCTATGGCAAGGTTTTTATTCCCTTCAGCTGAACTGGGATTGGATCAAAAAATGAGATAACTGATCACTTCAGGTAATAAAAAGTATAGTGCTCTGCCAAATTATTTACCACAATGCTGTTGCCAAACCCAGTTTAGACTATTCTATTGTTATAATGATGCCCACTTCTATTAATTAGAATGTTTCAGTCTGATCTGCCCTTAAAAGTTTTATCTGAAATTTGAAAAACCTAGCAAAAATCCTGATCATTCCTGAGATTACCAGCTGTGAATAAGATTAATTATTAGCAACACTGCTTATAGCTTTAAATAAACCATCAAAATAATAAAAAAAGCCAAAATACAGCAACAAACCAAACTTTTCTATCCACAGTCCCTCCAGCCATCAAAAGTTTTACTGCTGCTATCCTCACTTGTTCCATGTGGTAGAGAAAATGAAGGAAATTCCAGATTTAAAAGCCATTTTCAAACACTTCAAACATGGTCTTTCTATACTGTAAACATGTTTCAATTAATTCCTATCACTGCAAATTTATCACTATCATTTCCAGAATCAAGAACTTGCATGTATTTTCCTCCCAAGAATCTTAAGCAGAGCTTCTCAAATAACCTGCTCTTTATTCAGTTATTTTTGACTATTTCAAGTCATTTCTGAACTGTATAAAAAATTACTTAAGCTTATAAACATATTTCCTTCTACTCATCTGTGAGAATATTTTGAATGCACTTGTCACTGGCTATATTTAATTCTAACTTTGATGTTAAATGCTGTGATATTTTTGGGTGATGGGTAGCAATATTTAAAGCTCTGCTAGTCTCTACCTTATTTTGTAAAGCTATTTCCAAATAAACATTTATATAAATTAATAACAGTAAAAGAGAAAATGCTAATTTAGCCTACAATGAAATGAAAAAACCTCTGACCACCCTTTTGATTTCTTTTAAATGGAGTTGGTAACAACATGCCCTCTTCTGAAAGCATTTAAAAGGAGTTTACAAGAAAAATGGAGACAAACTTATTAGCAGGGCCTGTTGTGACAGGACAAGTGGTAATGGTTTTAAACTAAAAGAGGGCAGATTTAGACAGATACAAGGAAGATTATTTTTTTTTTACCATAAGGGTGATGAAACACTGACACAGGTTGCCCAAAAAACTTTAGGATCCATCCCTGGAAACATTCAAGGCCATGTTGGACGGGGCTCCATCCATGAAGGTGCTCCTTGGAATTAGATGACCTTTAAAGCTCCCTTCCAACTCAAACCATTTTAACTTTTGTATGATTCTTCATGACATATAGGCATTTATTGGTAGAGAAAAAGGGCCATGGTCTGTTTTCTTTAACACTGACAATTTCTACTCTGGACAAAATCTTCCTTCTCCACTTCAGTTTACCTGAGCATCTGAGGTCCATGAACTGCAGTCACTGAAAATGAACTCTTCAAGACAAAAACCAGCTTAACCAGTGTTAACCCTTCCATCTTCCTTGACTTTTGTCAGGCCTTTGGTGAGAAGACAATGGTATGGCCAAAAAAATACCACTTTCCTAGGGGTAGTGAAGTAAGCAAGATCCCTGCAGTGAGGACCAGAACAGGCATTCAAAAGCAAGGCAGGAAGCAGGAGTTCCTCATTTTGTCATGGCAATTTCAATCTGAAGAGGAGGCACACATGATGCAGTGTGAATGAACTTTGACAGAGAAGCAGGAGGGCAGCTAGACAGAGCAAATACGGAGCACAGCAATTCACTCAAT